ATTTTCTTAATGATGCGGTTCAAGGAAGGAAGAGAAAAGGGGCTTCAAAAACAAACAAACAAACAAACAAACAGACAAGGGACTATATGGTAGCATAGCAATAAAATATGATGCTCTTCGGGGCTGACCCACATAGGAAGATTTTGGGTTCATGGCCAGAGACCTTCCTGAGCACTCTGGCATGTGCATGCCCATGATCCAAGGCTAGCTGAAGTTGCGGGGTGGGTCACAGCAGCAGGTTCTGTTGGGGAGGCTGTCTTCTCTCTCAGAAGAAATAAACTTAAAAAAAAAAAAAAAGACAAGCTCACAAGAAACTCAAATACATCTATACCCTTCAGTGAATTTCACACATTTATATCCAGTAGGAAGAGCTTCCCAGTCCCTTTCCTACTCCCCAGTGTAGTGCATGCTGCTTCCCAACAGGATATTTTCAACACGTCTCTCTTACACCTGAATATCTATTGAGGCTGCCTACCAAGCCTCAATTCTCAATTCTGCCTCCTTGTATGCGAGGGCATTTAATCAACTTCTGTCACCCTCACTTTTTTTGTTAATATTTTTTAAAGAATTATTTTATTTAACTTTATTTACTTATTTATTCATTTGTTTATTTCAATTTGACACAGAGGGACAGAATGAGAGAGAGTGAAAGTGGGAAAGCAAGCCACCAGGTCTGGGACTTGAACCACGGTCAGCCATGTGGGAATCCAGCACCTTTAACCAAGCTACATGCCAGCCCCCATCCTTTTCTTTTATTTTTTTAAAAATAATTTTATTTTAACTTTATTTATTCCATTTTAATTTGACCAGATAGTGACAGAGTGAGAGTGAGAGAGAAAGGGAAAGTGAGAAAGCGAGCTGCCAGGTCCGGGACTCGAACTGCAGTCGGCCATGTGGGAGTCGAGCCGACTTAACCACCATGCCACCTGCTGCCCCCCTCCATCCTTTTCTAAGCTGAGATCTCATCATTCCTCAGCAAACAACCTGTCAATTAGCCAAGCAACTCTGCCCACTGTCCCCACAATATGGTTTAGCTTCATGTTTAGCTTCATGCCCTTGTTTGTGCCCAGCCCTCTTATAAATTCCTTCTCCTTCAAGACCCGCTTTCCTCTCCTTTGAAACAAAATGGAAACAAACCTGTTTTAGAAAGCTTGTCCTGACCCCACCAGAGTGTTGATTTCTCAGCTCTGCAATACCCCCTCCCCTCCAAGATTCTTGACCTTTAGTATATATATTGGGTTGTTGGAGTATTTTTCTATGTAAAAACATCCTTCTCCCAGTTATCAAATCAAATATTAATCTAAGTTCTCATGTGATGAAATTTAGCAGATGTAATTAAGGTCCCAAATTAGATAATTTGAAGATACGAAGATTCTCTAGGATGAGCCTGACCTAATCAAATAGGCACTTAAGGTAGACTGAGCTCTTCCTGAAGAAAGAAATTCAGAGTGAGAGTTTGTTTATTTGTTTGTTTGTTTGTTTTTTGGAGAGGTTTTTGCTATAGGGCACGTGCGCTCGCCAGACAGACAGAGACAGAGAGACAGAAAGCGAGAAATCACCCCCCCAGGGGGGATGGTCATGCCTCAGTCCCTTCTCCTATGTTCTCCTCTCGGGATCTTGGGCACGCACGCGCACGTGCCCGGTGTGAGTTTAAGCCACCGAGTCTGGGACTTGAACCGCGATCGACTACATGGGAGTCCAACGACATAGCCATTACGCCAACTTCTGGTCCCCTCAATTCAATGTTAAACCTCCTTTCCACCACAGCTATAAAGTGATGCTATTAGAGAGACCTGCCTTAACTGATATGTTGGAGCTAATGAGTGGTATAAATCCTTGGCCTTGGTGGTACCCATTCATTTTAGTAGCAGCTAGAATCACTACCACTGTCAAATGCCTCCCAGTTCTCATGTTAGATACAGACTCCTAGGACCAGCAGATGGCATAATGCTTATGTTGCAGGACTCCCATGTAGTCAACCATGATTCGACTCCCAGACCTGGTAGCTTGGAACTCACACCAGGCACGTGGGTGTGTGTGCCCAAAATCCTGACAGGAGAACAGAGAAAGGATTGCAGTGTGGCCATTTCTCCCAGGGAGTAATTTCTTGCTTCCTGTCTCTCTTTCTGGTGAGTGCAGACCCCTATAGCAAAAACTTCTCTTTAAAAAAAAAAGGGGGGGTGACCAGCAGTTAGCGTAATGGCTATGTTGCTGGACTCTCACGTAGTCAACTGCGGGTTGAGTCTGGGGCTGGTGGCTTAAACTCACGCCGGACGCATGTGTGTGCGTGCCCAAAATCCCAAGAGGAGAATGGAGGAGAAGGGACTGTGGCATGGCCATCCCCCCTGGGGGGGTGATTTCTCGCTTTCTGTCTGTCTCTCTCTGTCTGGCGAGCACACACGCCCTATAGCAAAAACCTCTCAAAAAAAAAAAAAAAGGAAATAAAAAAGAATGAAAAGAAACAGATTCCTGCACATCTGATGTCTTCTGGACATGTTCACGTGCGTGTCTCATTAGTCCCAAGAACTCAATAAGTCCCATCCAAAATTTCCTCTCCCAAATTTGTTTCTCCCCCTCCATTCCCTAATTCTGTTCATGGTACCTTCAAGTCCCCAGTTATCTTGAGACTAGAGCTTCAGCAGTTCTCAGCTCCTTCATGTCCCTTGCCCCTATATTAAACCTATCACCAAGTCTTCTGCATTCCTCCCTTCCTCTGTTGTATGGTCAGCAGCAGGTGCAGGGTGTCTCACCTCGAATGCTGGGAGACTCTCCGAGCTGCTCTCCTGGGACCTATCTCAGATTAGCACAGCTCCAATGACGTCATTTTCCTGCTCAACCACTTTCCAAGGAATCCATTAGCTTGGCATTTGAAACTCCCCATGACTTAAACCTACCTTTCTCCTATTTTCAGTAATTCTCAAATGTGCATTTTGCCTACCTTCTCCGATATCTGGGGTTGACTTTTAAAATTCTTTAAAAAACTGTTCATTGCTTTTGCAGGTCCACCAACTGTGACTCTGCCCTGCAACCTGCAGCCTTCGGGTCCACGTGCATCTTACAGTTGTTTTTACTTCAGACCCACTGCCCGTCCAGTTCTCTGCAGTGGGATATTTTCATACCCTGGACTCTTCTGAACACATAGTAGCCGCTTGGCTTGTGGAACTGCCAAGGGGAAATGTGGTTCCAGAGCCAAATTGTGAGTGCCCAGAGCTTAAAAAAAAAAAATCTTCTGCTTGCCTAAAGCTCTCCTTCCCTCCCCTCGGACACACATCACCATTTCCCTGTCCTTTGGGGGTGATTATTGGCCTAAACGTTGGGGTCTGGATCCCGCCTGTTCATCCCAGAGAAAGGGGACCCACAGCCGCCTTCCATAGAGGAGGCCAATTTAGTCCCCTCTCGCCCCATGATTTGAGCCCGTCATCCCCCCACCCCCACCCCAGTCCTCCGTGTCGGCAGGGGGGCGTGCGCCCTCCAGTTCGCGCTTTTCCAGAACCGGTTTTGCCTCCGCCCACTCCTTTCCTCTAGTTCGGGACTTCCAATCTTCTCCCCCT